AGATCTGCTAGCACAGGCCTGCTCCCTCTCTGCTTCGTGATCATAGGTGGTGGGCTGCTCCACACAACCCTGTCCTTCCTGCTATGATGCACCAAAACCTCTGAAACTGTGAGTCAAAAGAAATGTCACTTATTGATTTGTTCAGACATTTGTCTAGTCAGACAGTGACTAGAAACTATCAGCATTGTCCTAGCCAGCACCTGACTCTCCTGTGCTTTCCTTGAAGACGTCCTTAACAGCAAGCCATGGGGATATGTATTTAAATTTGGCTCTGGAGGTTGGTAACCAGTATGTGCTTTTCTGCTCAGCAGTCTGGCACAGTAAGCAGGGTTACCAAGGAAACGGGCCACGACATTGTCAAATGGTTTGTCATTGCTCCAAAATGGGGTTATCAGTGTGTGTGTGTGGTGATGGCCTGACTGAGGTGCTGGCCATCCTTTGGCTTTACAGGGACAAAGTGGTGAACGAACTCTCATCACATCCCAGGTGATGCCTAGAGCACGCGGAGGGGCCTGTGCAGGGAACCCTCCCTGGTCTGGGTTGCTTGAGGCTCCCTAGTAAGAACTGTTTTCATGCATTGATGAAACTTACAGTCTTAATGAGAATGAGGCTTAAAACCAGGTCATTTTCTGAGGGAGAGATTTGACAGTGAAAGAGCAGATATGGAAAAAAGGCCAGAGAAGCCTCACACCACAGCCAGATTGGCGCTTGTTTGATTGTAGATACAAATGTCTAAGGCTGAATGGTGATCTCAGGGATGGGGCCAAATGACTGGTGGCCTTGTTCTCCTGTTAAGATAAAAAAGGAGCCAGAGGAAGATGCAGACTTTCCTGTGGCTTTTGCATATTGGTGCTTCCATGACAAGATTTTCTGGTCTCCTTAGGAGACAATGGAAACAGGTGACATCAGGTAATTTGAGGCTGATTTGCTGACCCAGGGTGTTTCTCTGCCTGTGATGCTTATGTGCACATGGGTGGGGCTTTTGGATGTTTTTGAGTGCTAGTGACTACGGTTCCTATTGCTGAGTGCGTAACAGCTTTACACATTGGCTACTCGTGGAATAGAATGCCATCAGCACCCGAGGGAATATGCCTGCTCACAGTTAAGGATTTGAGCCAGAGCAGGCGGATGCGTGAACCACTGCCTGCCAGCCAAGCCCCAGTGGGTTAGTCAGCAAAAGCTATGCTGTGTAGCTGGAGGGAAATGAGATGCTTCCTTTCTTCATCCAGTGCTTACTGAGGCAGAATGTCACAAACAATCTTATCACTATGGAGATGCCACGTTAGTTCACAAGGCTTCCAGGACATGAAGGCTGGCAGTGAGCTATGACAAACTAGATGCCTTTGACCCTGGGATAGCAGGTGCCATCCCTGTCACCGAGACAGTGGCACCCTCACTAGAGACTGACAGGCTGTTATTGGCTTGGCTAGTGCCGTTTTCGCCATCTCCTTGTGAGACAGGGATGTAGATCCCTTATCTGCCCACCTGCCACTGCCTGCAATGTGCTTCTGAAGGAAGACTTGCACCTCTGCAGCATGCCACACGTGGGTGGGGTTTGACCTTCAACAAGCCCAGGCACAAGAAAGTTCTAGTCACCTAGTATATCGACGACCTTCTGAGAGTAGGGCACCCTGAAAAACCAGAACTGATACTGACCTCAGTCCTTAACTAAACTAAAATCCAGAGTCCTGAATAGCAGGTGCATTTCCCAGGGGGCACATGGACAGGGAGCCAAAAGCATATCCCCCAAATGGCCAAATGATTTTTGTCCTCAGTGGTGTCCATTATATGGGCTCGGGCTGAAGAGATGGCTCAGCAGGAAATGGTACTTGCCACCAAGCCTGATGATATGACTGGGGTTTCTGGGAACTGAGGACTCATGTACTCTACCTAGGTGCTTTTACTTTGGTCCCCTTAATCAAGGTGGCTTGCGAAGCCACTTGTTTTAAATACCTTGGAAGACATTCAACAAGCCACAGACCACACATGGCCTTTAAGACTTCTGGAGCTGCTGGCCCAGGGACACCGCAGGTGTCCATATCCTTTGCCTATGCAGATTGGTTTTTATGGCAACAGGAAACTATTCCTGGGGTGCACAGCTTCTAGGTTGTTTTACACATAAGTTGTCTGAGATGATTTCCGTACATATGTCTTCAAATGGCAGCTCTTTGCTTGCTACTGGGTGCTGGAGAAGACCATATACCTTATAGTGATGATGTGACTTGAACTGCCTTCACTTGAATGAAGCCCCACCAATACAAATGAACAGACTAAACGGAACTCCATTTCCCAATGGAATTGACACATACAAGAATGGCCCAGCCAGAATTTCTAGGGCCCGGGAGGCTCCACGATCAAATAACCAGCTCACCAGGAGGGACTGAACAACCAGATGTGGTCCAAGATTCAAATATGTGCCGGGACACTGAGTTCTGCAGAACTAAAGGCCCAGGGGGTGCATTGAACCCAGGCGGTCCTTAGCTTTAATATGCTCTGAATGAGTGAGTCAGTTCTGGTTCAGACTGACCTGCTGGGGCCTGGTGCAGGAACTCAGCCCAGAGCAATGGCCTCTCATCATCTTATTTCACACACCTTTTCCTTAGTCTATACCACTTGCTCTCACAGAACTTTCAGGTTAGCCAGAGGCGAGAGCCTAGGCCCTCCTTGGGCTGTTTTGAACCTCAAAAACCCCAACACACACACACATACATACACACACACACACACACACACACACACACACACACACACACACACACACACACGAGTGGCTTCCTGGAATCCTAACACACACACACACACACACACACACACACACACACACACACACACACACACGAGTGGCTTCCTGGAATCCTAAGAATGTGCTGACTATTTTCAGAGCCTATATCCAGTTCCCCAGGTTTCCCTTTGAAGATTATCACTGGTGTGTTGTTTGTCTTAAATGTTAGCATCACCTCAGGCAGCAGGCACTAAGCAAGACCCCTGACTGTTTCTCAGCAAATGCACGTGAACGGTTGTACATTCCTAGTCTGTGAACTCTGTGTCAGGTCAAATGAAGGCAAACTTAAAAATGTGCAGGACCCAGTGAGCAGGTCACACGTTGCGTTGCCATCACTCTGGGAAAGAGGCCTTGGAGTTGTTCTAACCCCTCCCTGGCTCTGGTGTCCACTGGCTGCCTCTTTTTCTTTAAACCAAGACTGGGGGCTTTTGATTTTCTGATCACCCAGAGACCCTTTTCTTGCATCCAGTCTTTCAGTATTCTATACAATCTCAACTTTCCTCTCCCTTCCTTTTCTCACTTCCTCAAAATCAAGTTTTTCCCCTTCAGGAAAAAAAAAAAAAAGACAGCTCCTATTAGCCTCTACTGCTTTTCACAAGCAGTTAACCCTCGGACCACGGTGTCGTTACTTCCTGCTGCTCTTTCCTTTGTCATTTCTGTCCTTCTGCTGCTGGAAGAACAGAAGAGAGACCAGCAGGACAATGTCCTTTAGCTTCCCAGGCATCTTCTTCAGGGTCTCTCCCGCATCTTCACACAGAGTGGCCCCCATTCAGGCCCTCTCTTCCTGCTACGATCAGTTCACCTTTCCACATTCCTGGTTGCCTCCAACACCCAGCCCGAGATGTGGACCGGGACCCCGTATGTCCTCACACACCCTCCTCTCCTGCTCAGCTCTGGAGCCTATCTACTATCGGCGCCTTCACTTCTTGTGTGGTAACCTGTGTGTGAACATCGATGCCTGAGGGCTCATCCACACCACCTAAGAACAGCAGGGTAGCCACCCTAATCTCCATTCACCTGAACCCCAGCCCTCAGCTCTTCCAGACCACTCAGACTCAGGATGTGAGACTCTAGGGCACGGCCCTGACTGCCCAGATAGTGTTTTTTCTAGCTTCTAAAGTCTCAAGTAATGGTGAACAACACAAGACATTATTGCAGATGAAGAGCTATTTTATTTAGTGATCATCACGGGATTAATCATTCCTGGTGGGAAAGGAGATCAAGTTCCTTGGGAGACGGTAAGCATATCATTTCCCAGGACACGGGCCCTCTTCTGTGAGCCAATGGGAAGCTAGGCAAGAGGCAGCAGACTGAGAAGCAGCAATTCTTCTCTGTTGGGAGAAGAATTCAGTCAGGAGGGAGATGTGAAGTCAGTGACTCTCACTGGTATTGTTCATCATCAAGCTGGCCCTCTGAGGGATGGAGGCATTCTGAGACCCAAGGATAAGATCTCAGCCACAAGGAGCCTGGCTCTTTGTACCTGTGTGGACTTGACTGTGGCGAGTCTGTATATGTTTGCATGTATGGGTAAGCATAGTGGTGTGAGACTGCATGCATTTGTATCACCTATGTATCTGGCCGGTGTGTGTGTGTGTGTGTGTGTGTGTGTGTGTGTGTCCATGATGATGCATGTTTCTCTTTGCAGTTGTGTTGATGTGGCACCTGTGTCTCTCCACCTCTGTCAGCTTTTCTGTGGACCTTTGTGTGTATTCCTGGGTATGTTCATGTGGATGCTTGTCTCTCTTTGGATAGTGCTATAACTTGAATCTTAGATGTTCTCTTAAGGGCCCAGAAGTTAAAGGTGTGGTCCCCACAGTGGTGATGCTGGGAGCAGTGGAACCAGTGGGAGTGGGGTTGCTGGGGAGTGGGAGGTCTCTAGGTGACTGGGGCATGCCCTCAGAGGGAGTTGTACCGCTTGCTGTCACTTGGCTACTGAATGAATGAATGGCTTCTTCCATTATAATATGCTGCCTTATCATGGCCTCGAAGCAATGGAACAATTGGTCATGGACTGTGAGCCAAAAGAAACCCCTTTCTCTTTATAAGTTGATTATCTTAGGTCTTTCATTAGAGTGATGGAAAGCTGACTAATACTGATGACATTGTCTCTAGATTCCCTCTTCCTTCTAGAAGGATAATGGCCAATCCTCAAATACTGAGGAATGTGGAAGAGTACGCACCAGCTCAACTAAAGGCAGATCCTCCCTTCCTGGGAGGCCTAGATCTTGATGACAAATTGTAGTCCATGGATCAGTAATTCTGGACAACAAAAACAACACAAAAGCCAGGTTAGAGTCACGATCTGGTGGGGAAGGAGTCCAGCAAGAGCTCTGGTCACCAGCCATGCTTACCACACCCAAGCATGTGGGGAAGGCTGAGCCTCCTCCTCCAGACAGCCCAGCTCTTCTCAGGTCAGGCTGAGAGGAGGAGGCAGGCTTTACCTCAAACGCATCTGGATTCATGGGGACAAAGACACTCCCAAAGAGGGAGGGGTGAGGTCAACGAGGCCTGGCTGTCCCCTGACGTGCCAGGGCCAAACTCCTCGGTGGGGGAAACCAGTGCTTCCTTGGAGTGGGAGAAGACTTGGAAACAGCACTTACCAGCAATGTCGTGCACCAGGGTGACATCCAAACGGCTGAGAATCCCATTGACCAGAGGACATACCTGACCCAGGCCAGAGAGGGGAGTTAGGCACAGGACCTCCTGCAAGGAGGCCCTTGGAGAAGCAGCATGCCCAAGGTGGAATAGATTCAGGGATACTTTCTACAGCCCAGAAGAAGCCAACCAATGTGTTTGGAGGGGCGGAAAGAAGTAACACAGACAGCTGGACCACAGGACAGATGGACTGATAGATGGATATCTCATACGGAGTAGCTCAAGTTCACTCCAGGGCTCTCTTTCAGCTTGAGAAGCTCTAAGACCCCTGGAACAGGGGACTGTCCTTTTGGTCCCTTACCTTGCCCTGCACCAGGTCAGGAAGGACTTTAGTCAATATCCCTGTGAGGCTGTCTAAAACGCTTTGAAGGGGAGTGACTCTGGAAGAGAAAGGCATGCATGCGACTTAGAGGCTTGGGGTTGGTCTGGAGAAGTTCAGCAACCACTATGCACACTCAATATCGGCATCCAATGACTGAGCCCAGGCCTTGCACACTCATGTCCATGGCAGATGGACATGTGCACACACAGAGGAGTGTAGAATAAACACGCATTTCAAGGACATAGTAGGTGCACAACAAGACTGTGGGATCCATGAATGCATGAACAGAGCTTAGTAGGTAGTTGTCATGGGGACTTAATGAAATGATACACACAAATCCCAATATACATATTTAGCAAATGTGAACTATAGTGTGGACAGGTCCTATGCACTACGTATGACTGGGCCTTCCCACGTGACAGGCAACTGGAATAAGCAATCCAAATAAGTGTTACATCTATTTACCTCTGGTGGATTCTGTCAATAACCTCAATGTAGTTTCATATTACAAATAAATGAGACGAGACAAAATTGGAGAAATACTAGTGAAGTTCACATCCCCTGTGACAGGTGGGGCTTAAATTCAAACTATTCATTGCCTAATCCATTGTAAATTGGTCATCCTATTATAAATATGATGACATAATAAACAGAGTAATGTTCTCTAACACCATCTAGCTTACTTTTTGAGCAACTCACAGTAATAAAATTTGTCTCTTTGTAATAACTAGATAAGATAATTTTAGATAGACTATCTGTGAGGGTCCATGAAGCAGGTAAAACAGACAAAAAGAACTAATATCACAATGTATACACTGTTGCTTTTTCATAGCATTAAAACATCGGCCATTCTGTCTAACAAGACATAAGTGAGCATTCATGTATTCATTTACTTATCCATCTGTCCATGTCTGTGTATCTTTCCCTTCCCTCACCAAACACACATCCATCAATCTACCTACCCATCCTCCTCCTCACACACATCCTTTCTATACTCTTACTCATCCGTCCACCCATTGTTCCGTAACTCCACACAGCTGTCTCTGGGTGGGAGAAGCTAGCTCGTTAGCCTCACCCATTGAGCAAGGTGATTTGCAGGCTGCCAGGGGAGTGGGTGCAGTCACCAAGGACCAGGTGGATCCTCCCCTGATTGTCTTTCACGGCCAAGACTTCTGCGGTGATGTTCAGCTTCACAGCCAGTTCCAAAATTCCAATTCCGACCAGGGGCCTGCCAGAAAAGGAGGGAACAATCCCACTGGTACCTGACCCTTGCCTGCATTTCAAGGTGGAGGGTTTCTTCTTGAGAGGAGAGCCAGGCTCATCTTACCCTATCTTTTTCATGGTTGTTTTCATCTCCCAAGGAGGAGAAAGCAAGACTCAGAGAGGTCAAACCACATGGCTAAGTTTGCTCCACCATGAGGCAAATGTGCTAATGTTGAAGACCCAGGCATTTGCAGCTTCTCAGAGCCATCAAGCTCTCCCTCTGTGAGCCATCCCCTTTCTGACCCCCTTGAGACCTACTCACGTATTCACTTTGAGTCTCAAGCCCAGAGGGATGGTGACGTAGAGACGATGGCCGTCAGGGCTCTGCACAAGGCCAAGTTCCAGCAGTTGGGCGTCAGTGATTTTTATGCTGTTCGGGGGCAACATTAGAGAGATGAGAACCGGTGCCTCAAGTCTGAAGCCTGGGAACCAATTTCACACAAATGTACTCATCTCAGAGGGAGAGCTGGCCACTCGGGACGAGGAAGACAGGAAGGCAGTCTTCCAGTCACCTCCGTCTTCCCTAAATTCTGCCTGAATGGAATCCTAACACACAAGGTCCTCTATGCATCTCAGGTCTAGGAGGTATCTGACGAAAGAGACTGGGCATGACAGCACAGAACGTTTTAAAGCAAGTGGATGGTTCTGTGAGTTGGGGGGAGATGGGTAATTGGATATGTAGAAGGGTGGCTAGAAGAGCAAGTAGATGAACGGAAGGAAAGATGGGTGGATGGATAGGTGGACTATCACAGAAGATACATGGGCAACTAGAATAAGCCCTGCACAGGACTTGGGGCAGAAATCACTTGTTCTGACATAACCTGCAGTAGCATATCAGCCCTCAGTGCCCATGATAGGGCTTAAAGAGCAGAGGTTGGAAAGAATGGAAAATGGTGGGAGGGAACCTTCCCTGAGCCATCCACGGTGCCAGGTATTTACCCTTCCCTGGTCCTCCACAGCCTTTCTCTGATGTACAATCCCCATCTCACAGATGGAGAAACCAAGCCCAGGAGACCAGGTGCCTGACCTCGGCTCATCCAGCACAGACAGTTCTTATGTCAATCAAACTGAAGTCCGTCTGACTGTCTGTAGGTCAGGAAGCAAAGGCCTGGGAGGCTGGGAATCCTGGTAATAGTCCAGTCTTACTAAGGACTAGGGTTCGAGTATCTGGTCCCTGGCAACAAGCTCCCCATTGTGGCTTTGTGCCTAAGGAGCTCTTGGGTGGCTCATGGGAAGCTCCACATCAGGTCTCAGTCACATCACTTAGGTGATACGGTTGAGGACAGGCTAGTGACAGCTGACATTCCCCAGATGGAATGAGCACAGTGAGTGCAGTGGGTGGCAAAGGTCCCAACTTGGGGCTTCTCTGAGTTAGATTCCTGACTCTGCACCACCCTATCTGTGTGAGCGCAGGCACATCTCTGTGCCTCAGTTTTTCCATCTGGGAGCTGGGGATTATGGAGCTGATGTGGAAGGGTTGTCATGGGGATAACAGCTGCAGGGGGAGCCCAGGATGTGCCTTAGGATCGAGGGCAACTCCAGGTCCAAAGGGCCACTATTCCTGGTAGAGTGAAGAGAGGCCTGGGGACCGAGTCTTGGTTCCATGCTCAGCCCGCCCCTCTCTGTAGGGCTGCTGCCTGGGGCTGGGAACCGAATCCCTCATTGGGTCAACTTACTCAAGGATACTGTTCAGGAGAGGGATTGATGAAGTCAGTTTTCCAAGCAGGCCCCCAACCAGGCCATTAGAATTCCCGTCTCCAGACTTTATAATATCCAGGAGTGGAATATTTTCCAAAATGCCCAGAATCCCCTCAGACAGCAGGCCACCACTGAGAGCTGCAAAAGAGAAAAGGGCCTCAGGGGTCACGTCGGCTGACCTAAGGTCGTCACAACCTCTTTCTCACTCATGCTTCCCTTCCTGGTGTTGGGAGGTTGTATACACTAGAGCACGCATGTGTAAACACAGACATGTATGCACACATACCCTGAAAGAGACTGTCATGGACTCACCACCTGTGAAGCTTCCAGCAAGATGGCCTGTGGGATTTGAAGGCAGAACTGGGGTCACGGCCAAAGGCAGATCCTGGCCCAAGGGCAAGGGCAGGCCCTGGCCCAAGGGCAAGGGCAGGCCTGCCAGCTGGGCCGAGCTCTGGGCCAGCAGCCCACAGAGGACAAGGAGGCTCCCAACTAGAAGCATCTCTTGGTATCTGCAGAAAGAATGGCAAGTCACTGTGGTATGGATATCAGAGTTCTCTGCACTGCCTGCCCTGTCTCAGGCATGAGTTTCTTTCCTCCCCTGGACCCCAGGGGGGCAATAACTAGCAACAATAGCTAACACTGCCATGGTGTAGTCTGTCCCAGGCCACAGGCTGATACATTCAGTCACCAACTTCATTGTCACCGCATCCTCAGATGTGACAACCCCTACTGCACAGTTGGAGCAGAGGCCCAGTGACTCAAGGCAGTCTCCCCCAAGGTCACAAGTTGCAGCAGAGAGAGGAGCTGAAGTCAAGCATGCCTGACCCAGAAACTTGTGTGGTTAAGTGACCGTCAGATTTACTCTGGGGCTGGGGGACGTGACTGTGGTGGCCTGACCCTTTGCCCTCACCCCTGCTCTTCAGTGTGGATGGAGAGGCTCCAACATGGCAGAGGCTGAAGATCTGAACTGCTTGGCCATCATCATCCCTGCTAAGGGATGGTTTTTTTTTTTTTTTTTGTCTGTGTTCAGGCCGTGATGGTTTGTGGATACCATCAAGAGCCACAGAATGTCCAAGGTCACATGACCAGAGACAGCTTCTCAACTGTGATGGGTAACCTCAAGTTAAAATATCTTCCCTAGAGTGTTGACTTAGGGCGTGTTGAGAGCTCACGGTTCTATCAATGCTGCGCTCTCTAGGAAAGGAGAGTGAATGGCCAGTCCTTGCCCCTGACCAAGGCCATCGCTGTTTCTCTTGTAAGGTCCCCGGTTAGTGACAGTACAATCTGCGAGCACCAGGCTACAGTGAGGGGCTTGGCCTCCTGCTACCTGGAGCGTCTGTGGAACAGAGGAAGGGGCAGGTCTCACCTGAGTCTCAAGGTCTCAGCGGCAGTCCTGGGCTCCTCTCCTACCACTTCTCTCACTGAGGAATCAGCCTCTTTTATAGAATGGGAATTGGGAAACCCAATGTTGGTTGATGGGCTTCGAGATAATTCCAATTTCTGCAATGTGGAAGCGTCTTTCAGGGCTCTCCAAAGTAAATAATTGTCAATCACGTTAACAGGTGAGTCAGTTAAGCTGTTCAGTCCACAAATTAAACAAGAAAATCTGAGATGGAGGCTTACTCAAGACTTCATGGTTTCATGCACGAGGCAGAGGTTGAAGGCCCCTGCTCACATGGCTGGAAGACCAGACTTTCAGTGTTGAAAGAGCAGTCAGTCAGACCACTCAGGATCCTTGACCTTATTCTCATCTCATGTGGCTCTCGTCCCCTGGTCCCATTCTTTCCTTCTACAGTTGGCAAACTCTTGTTCCCACCGTGTTAGGAGTCAAACTACATTTGCCCTCCCTATCTTGAGCTACCCTTCAGTTTCATTTGTGTGCATGTATGAGGTGGATCTTTTGTTTTTCAAGCCCTTGGTACATGGCTGTCATGTGCCTGTAGGTCCGCATAAGATCTTGGGACAGAAAGGTCACTGCTGTTTCCTTACAGAGGAGGAAACTTGGGCCCGGTTAGCACAAATGGTCCAGAGAGGAAGTGGTAGAGTTCGAAGTCAGCTCATTGGATAATAAAAGCAAGGAACCAATGCCAGGAGTGAATACTTGCCAGGCTCTAGCCTGTGCCAGGTCCATTCATTCTGGTGAGGTGGGGTTTGGGTTTCTACAGTGAGAAACTGGGGCTTGAGCCTTCCCCACACTTGCTCTCTGTTTTGATTTCCCACATTACACTTTCCACTTCTGGTTTCTGGAAACATCTTTCCGGGTTGCCATGCTTGAGGGATCCTGCACCGCCTGATCTCTCCCCTAATCCCTATCCTTTCCTCAGATAGAGTAATGAAGCATTACTCTCCACTACTTAGTACTATGAGGACTATTTTACAGAGGGAAAAACCAAGACAGGGATAGGTCGAGGTCTTGAATGGTGAGAACAACCCAGACCAAGCAATATCACATGGGATTGCCTTGAAGTTACTATGAAGCCCAGGCTGGCCTTGAACTTATCCTCCTGCCTCAGACTCCTGAGTGCTGGGATGACAGGAATGCCCCTAAGCCTGTTCTGAGAGTAGGTCTTGCTATTAACCTTTGGGTAAATTGAGGCAGATAAGGCCTGGAAAAGAGCTGGGGTTATGTATTCAGTTGATGGAAATCTTGAAAGTTTGAAGGCTGGGTATCTGTTATAGCAGAAAACAGGGCAGGTTGGGTCTTAGCTATATGCTGACCTGGGAGGGCCACTCCAGTTATGGAGACTTTTTCCTCCCGTCTAATATGGAGATGGCATCTCACACACACACCTCAGGGCTGTGAGGAGAGCACAATTGAGGAGCTGGCACACATCTCGTTTGGTAGCATAGGCATCCACACATTCTTCTGGTTTACATGCCACCTGCTACTTCTGATGGCATTTTGTTCAGTTACAGAAATGTCTTCATCTCCCTCTGAGGTCTCATTTCTGCTCCAGGGGCCTTACCTGTACCACGGTGCTCAAAGGAGGCTACCTTGACTGGAAAAACAGGCACATCACGTGCCACCTGGCTTCCTCAGATTTAGCATTTACTGTCTCCTCCTTGGATACACAGCATCGTCTCTGCCCCTACCCTCAGGCAAGACTATGGGGAGCTGTTAGCCCAGCTGCCTGTACCCATCTAAGTCCTCTGGCTTACCATCTCTCTTTGGGTCACTCCTTGTCTTGGCCCTGGGCAGGGGTGTGAGCACAGGCACCCTCTATTCCCCACTCAGCATGTCTGTGGGGTTTCCTGAGTCCATCCACACCGGGTTCTGTCTTGGGAGGGAGAGAGGCAGTGTGTGGTGCCTTCTGAAACCCTGGAATGGTGTTCTCTTCAGTTTTTCTTGGATTCCTCCTACCCCCGCTCCAACACAGGGAACTGTCTAGTCTTGAAGGTGGGAACTCTTGTTTTACATCCTTACATGGTTACTTTCAGCACTCTGCCCTGAGTTTAAAAAGTCCAAGATCAGTCAAACACACTAAGGTAACATTCAGTAAAAGCAGCCTTCTCTCAGTGTGAACTTGTATGAATTCTAACCTAATATGGCTTTGTGGGACCATCATAGTAGGGGCCAGGGCATTTCAGTCGGAAACATTCCCCATCCATACTGCCCTTGGTACCCATCCATCTGTTCTCACTAGCTGGGCCCAAACCTTAGACTTAGGAAACTTAACACCTCCTATCTCTACTTCTCCTTGAGGAGTTCCATGGGTTGTATGCTTGGTGCCCCAGCAGGGAAGCTCTTGAGCAGGCACAGCAGCAAGACTCACAGTTAGTGTTCCAGACCCTCAGGAGACACGGATGAGGCCCAATATGCTTCCGAGAAGTCACATGTTGGTGGTGCCCCTTCATCCCCCTTCCCAGATACACTGATTGTACTCCGGAGCCTGTACTGGTGGTGTGCGTGGATCACAGTTTTGGTTTTCATATTAACCAAGAACAGAAGACACGATTTGCAGAGGCTTAAGAAAAATCTATCTCATAGAATATAGCAGGGTGGTATAGAAGACGTTCCAAAGACCATTGAAATCCAGCCCCAGTCCACACAGGCTTTATTTTTAAAGAGCAGAGCTGAGTTGTCTTCTTAAAAGATTACAGTCTATTCCAGGTTCATTCTCTGGAATTGGGAATGGAATACAAGGGAGGTAAACTTGAGAAGGATTTCAGATAGGCTTGGAAACTCTGGAGGGCAGAGGGGGTGGGGGAAGGAGGGAGTTTGACGAGAAAATGGGTCTAACGGGTCTTCTCAGGCAGTGTTAGCCACAGGCAAACCCCCCTTGAGATTGACCTCAACAGCATCAGGGACAGACAGCGGCAAAATCCTCTTAGGAGGCACTGGGGACTGATACCACTTGTCACAATCTTTTGGAGGAAACTGAGGTTCAGATAAAGCTGTGACCTGTCTGAGGTCACCTCAGCTAGAGACAAGTGACAACAGGCTATCCTCATTTAGGGCTTATCTTTCAGTGCCTTTCAAGGACAAGTTTGCAGAGTCTTCAGTTCAGGAAGAACTGGCCATGTTCTCTGGAGGCCTCATATGGGCCATGACGTCAGTGGGCACAGAGTTCCAAATCTGACAGGCTCATCACCAGCTGAATGACGCTGGGAAAAAATGTTTCTCTCCTCATCCTTTGCTTCTCTTTCTTTTCTATTTCATTCATTTTTGAATTAAAAAATTGCGGTAATAACTCAACCTAAAGCCTACTCTCTTAGTGGTATGAGTTACATCACTGTTAACTATAGGAACTGTGAGGGAAAACTCTAGAACATTTTCAAGGCTTCTCTTTGAGCTAGGTTACCTCCCCTATGACATAGAATTAAGCACAAACACGTCCCAAGGCTGTGAGAGGCTAAAGTTTGGGGGAAGTGGTGTAGCGCCAGCTACAGAGCTCATTCAAAGGCTGTCTGGACACCAGAGGGCAAGGAAAGTTTAAGGCACCCAGAGGTGGGACCTGGACAAAAGTTCTGACTATTGGGGGATATATTTCTGCTTTATCTACCCATCACTGTGAACCCCAAGAACACCAGAGGAATCCATAGTTCAACAAGCTGTCCTGGGAGCAGGTATGGAAAAGCTTTGACTCTGTGAACCTTATAACGAAGACAGGATTAGAGAACACCAAGGGGGCATCTTGATGGAGACCGTGAGAAGCCCCAGGAGGTGCCAGGAGGAATGCAGACAAAAGCTGTCCCCCAAGGAAACAGCAGCCTTTGGCCTAGCCTCCTGTGTTTGCTCTTTGACTCAAGAGCAGGAAGAACCCTGTAAGCCAAAGGCTATCAAGTGGAATGTTCGGGAACATGGCGTTTAGGGTTGCAAATCCCCGGTGAAGCATTTCGGATTAGGGAGTTTGAATTGAAAGATGGAGATAAGAAGTTCTCTGGCCCTCCTCTCATCTCTGAGCTGTGGACACTTCCTTGTTTGAGTTTGTCAATTCACCTGAACCTGGATTTCATCATATTCCCCTTGGGGGGGGAGGGAAGGCTGGAGGGGGTTGTTGGGAAGGAGGGAAGACTTGGGTGTGTGTGTGAGAGTTCACAATTAAGAATGTGAGCTTTGGAATCTTGCTGCCTGTGTGTGACTGATGGGGTTGACGGGGGCTGACATGGTCAGTTCCTCTCTGTGTGACTTTAGACAAGTAACTTTCTCTTCCAGAATTCTCATGTGTAAACAGGGTGACACTTTTATAACTCATGGAGTTGCTGTGAGGCATTTAATGAAATGCTGAAGATTTTTCATGTACTTATGATATGTGCTACTACTATCTATTTTTTATTTATTTTGTCTAGTGCCATCTTTTTTTTAAATTTTATAATTTAATTTAATTTTACATATCAGCCACAGATTCCCCTGTCCTCCCTCCTCTTGCCCCCCCCTTCTCCCAGCCCACCCCCCATTCCCATCTCCTCCAGGGCAAGGATTCCCCTGGGGATTCAGTTCAACCTGGTAGATTCAGTCTAGGCAGGTCCAGTCCCCTCCTCCCAGGCTGAGCAAAGTGTCCCTGCATAGGCCCCAGGTTCCAAACAGCCAGCTTATGCACTAAGGACAGGTCCTGGTCCCACTGCCTGGGGGCCTCCCAAACAGTTCAAGCTAATCAACTGTCTCACTTATCCAGAGGGCCTGATCCAGTTGGGGGCTCCTCAGCTATTGGTTCATAGTTCATGTGTTTCCACTAGTTTGGCTATTTGTCCCTGTGCTTTTTCCAATCTTGGTCTCAACAATTCTCACTCATACAATCCCTCCTCTTTCTCGCCAATTGGACTCCTGGAGCTCCACCTGGGGCATGGCCGTGGGTGTCTGCATCTGCTTCCATCAGTCACTGGATGAGATTTCTAGCACGACAGTTAGGGTGTTTGGCCATCCTATCACCAGAGTAGGTCAGTTCGGGCTTTCTCTCGACCATTGCCAGTAGTCTATTGTGGGGGTATCTTTGTGGATTTCTGGGGAATCTCTCTAGCACTTTACTTCTTCCTATTCCCATGGGGGTCTTCATTTATCATGGTCTCTTTTTCCTTGTTCTCCCAATCTGTTCTTGATCCAGCTGGGATCAATGAAAATGAATATTTATTTATTTTTAAAGATTTACTTTTATCTATGGGTATGTGTATGTGTGCCATGTGTATGCTCATGGAAACCAGAAGAGGTGCTGGGTTCTCCTGGAGCTGGAATTACAGGCAGTTTTGGGCCACCCAACACAGGTGCTGGGATCTGAAATTGAGACCTCTGGAAGAGCAGTAAACACTCTTAACCACTAAGCTATCTTTCTAGCCCATGCTACTATTATTATTATGTGTATGTTATACTGATCCTCAACCTTTGGTGGGTTAGGGTCGGACTCAACGTTCAATCACTGAGTAGCCAGTAGGCAAATAGTTAACAATGAACTCAGTGGCCTTGAATAAACATTTTCCACATGGAAAACATCTTGCAAATGGTTTTTTATGTACTCCACACACATGTGCTTGCTGCATGCTAAATATTTTATTTTAAAAATTGTTAAACTGTATTATGTCTTAGAAAAAGGTACATACACGAATAACTGAGCGAGTTTTCCACAGACTGAACACTTTCCCCCATAGCCAGCACCAGGTCAAGAAACTGACCGTGACCGCTTCTCTGGAAGTCCCTCCCTGTTGCTGAGCCTCGCCTACCATCATTACCCTGATCTCTAGCAGTGTGCATTCATTAGCTTTGCTATTTTTGACTTCTGTGTCCCTGGAGTTGCTACACGTGCTCTTCAGTGCGGGCTCTTCTGATGCAACTTTGGAAGATTCACCCAAATGACTGTGTGAAGTGGAGGGTCATTTTCATCCCTGTTTCTGTCACAACGTGTGACTCTCCTACCTTCCCACCTGCCTGTCACTTCTCTGGAGGTATTCAGGAACACTGCCACTTTAGGGCTATTGTGACCACGGCACCCTTGTCTTTTGACACCTAGTGGTGAACCTGTGACATTACTGAGCAGGCGCCGCGCTCAGCTTGACTGAATGTTGCCAGTGTCCTGAAGTGGTGGTGTGGGTTCCTTGACGCCAGCAGTGTGCTATGGGTCCTGTAGAATTTTTAGTCCCACGTTGCAGGTGAGGGTAAGGGCCTTTGTCTAAGACACAGAGAGTGAGTTCTCAAGCCAGGAGTCATCCACTCATTTTACTCCAAACCTTTGCCGAGCTTGCCCTCTTACCATCTTTTGTGTTGGGGCTGGGGACACTGGTTGTTTTTTATAGAGCCGAGTCTGGTCTGATCCTGGGTCTCTTTTGTATTCATGCTTTATTATATTTTCTCTGTGACTTCTGGGAGCCCAGCAACAGACATGGCACAGAGTAGTTGCTCGCTAAACATAGATGAGCAAATGAGAAGTGAGACACCTCTGGCCTTTCCGTGCCTTGAACAAGGTCCCTGGCTGCAAACAGCAGGCTTGAGTGGGCATTCCCACCATTACTGGGCCGATGAGCAAATCAGGGATATTTGCACAAAAGCTCAAGGCAGGGTGGGGTTAGGGGGTGGTGGTATCCTTCAGGCGGGCCTAGTGTATCCTTCAGAGTTAGAGTTTATTGTTGGAGAGGACAGGATGTCTTGGAACCTGGGGGTCCTGTTTCCAGGGGACAGCAGAAGACCAACATTAAGAGAGACTTAAGGTCTCAACCGGAACTATCTCCTTCTGACCAATGGCAGGCAGCGGGAGGCCCCTTGAGCCTGGCGCCCAAGAGGTTTGACTGATTCAGGCTTGACCAAGATTATGAGCAGCCACCTGTTCTGAAAGGAGAAGGGGAATCTTGGTTGCTAGGTGACCCTTCTAATTCCCTGGTCCACAGAGAAGGGAGTGTTTTCCCACCCATCCTCCAAGGGCTGGGGCCAGGAGCATTCCCATCACTTGCTCAGAATGACATCCCCTGATGGATGACTTCCTGCCCTCCATTCTCAAGACTGTGAACTCCACCAGGGCAGGGGCTGAAGCAGTCTACCTATCTCTGGAGCAGGAATAGTCTTGAGTTTAGATAGGGGTGTCCTTCCTACTGGACTTGCAAAGCTCTTGGGGGAAGCTAGAATCTCTGGTTTGGTGACTTGGTAGGGTACAGCCTCGTTGGCAGGGGTTCCTTCTAGATTTTTAGGGGGACATTACAATTGAGTCCCTATAATACATTCTTACAGCACATGAGAGTTATGGCTCCTCCCTTAGTACCTACCAATCCCAATGACGCCTCCCAGGGTGGACCCCAACACTCACCCACAAGGCCTTTCAACAACTTCACATCCAGCTGTCGGAGGATTTCAGCGATCAGAGGACAAACCTAGGTGCCCAGCACAGAGACAGGGTCAGCCAGGGATAGGAAGGAAGTGAGGTCTCTGAGGCAAAGAGCCCCAGCACCACTGGATTCCAGCAGAACCCTGTCAACCCCTAGGAGCCATGCATAGCACACCCGTGCCCTGCCTCCTGAAGCCCCATAATTCTGAGGTGGGGACTTAACTGCCTGTGCTACACATGAGGACATGGACACTTAGGGTGGCTGTCCCTTGCTTGTGTAAACAATTATGATGGGGTTTGCTGTCAGGTTCCAAAACCAGGGTTAGAAGTTCTCTGCTAAATTACCCAGATGTGTGCCTTGGTTGTCAGACTCACGGATGCCTGTGGAGCATATGGCACTCACCGACAACTTACCTGACTTTCTACTAGGTTCGGGATAACTTTCCCCAGGCTTTCTCGGATGTTGTGGAGAAAATGTTTCATCTTGGGTGGGACTGCCCTAGGAAAAGAGGTGGGAATTCAGGACAGAATGTATCAGTCCAGGCTACGCTAATGCTGGGAGGGAAGTACTGAACACACTTTCCTACTCTGGATCCTAGCTTGGCCTTCTAGGGAGGTATTCTTGTCAGCCATAGTCAGTGGGGACCCAGAGAGGTGATGTGACATGGCCAAGGTCACACAGAGAGTAAGTGCTGAGTCTTATCAGGACATGGCAGGATAGCGCTAGAGTTCATGGTCTTCCTCTACGGCGTCAATGTCTGCTACAGTCTAAGTTGGCACCACACACCTGATGTCTACATGGCAGGCATGAAGGATGTCGTGGTTCAGCACTCGGGAATCACAGAGAGAAATCGGCACACCCCTCCCAGTGGTGTGTTGAGATGGACAGTTGCTTGGTCAGTCCCCAGAACTCCATGCTACTCTTATGTCTCTCTTGTTCACCCTGGAGTCTCTAAGCATTAGGCTGGGTGCCTGGCACTAGGAGCTTCTTGAGAAATACTTGGGGATATCTTCGTGAGGTACTTAAAAAGGCCAGAAAGGCATTCTAAAAGAGCTATCACCACGTGCAGGCGTGGGGTGTGAAGATGAGTAGCTGTTAGCGGAGGGTAAATGGCCACAGACCTGGGCAGGGATGAGGACACAGGGCTCAAGAGGCTTTTCTGAATTTGTTATTCCCCTTAAAGGCTTTGGAGCGGGAACCGGGGGAAAGGAGCAGAGTTCGGCATTAGGAACTTTTTTCTGTGGTGGGCAGAGAATGGGGTAGGGTCAGGGAACGCAGCGGGGGAGGGCCTGGCTTCTGGGAGGGGGACACAGGAGGAGCAAGTCCTGATGAAGGGATGAAGTCTGCTTTGGACTCATGAGGACATTTGGGGATGTGAAGCCATAGCTTCTCATGAGCCAGGGCTGCCCCAGAAGGGCGGAAGGCCTTACTCAGTGGACATAGATGAATCCTCACTGCTGGGCTCCATGTGGCATCTGCCCATCACCAGCTCCCTCCGGCCAAACTCATCTTTCTCCAGCCAGGACTCTGAAGCAAGGCCCATGCGGGCATGCGTTTTGATGATATTTGAATTGAAGGGCCTATGATGAGAGAGGAGGAGGCAGAAGGGATGGAGTAGGAGGAGGTGGGGGAAGCCAGCAAGAAGAGCGGCAAAGCCAGGCACCACCCACTGTCCTCTCAACAACCGTGTCCACTTAACCCTAGGTTAGTGAGTGAGGAGAAAACAGCCGTTGACCGTAGGGACCTCTGTGCTTGTTTTTCTTTTTCTGGTGCTAGAAATGGAATGCAAAGCCTGGGCGTGTTAAACGTGGGCTCCACCATTGAATCCACTACCACACTCCCTCCCCACACCCAACTTGGAGTGACGTTTGAAAGTTTCTTAAGGAGGTCAGTTTAGGAGTCTTTGGAAATTCAAGAGTTGAGAGAGAGTAAGCTGCTATTTTAAGAGCTTTCCCCTGTGGCTGCATCTCCTGGCTCCCTTCCAGGAAGTCCGAGCGGGAGGGGAATGAGCAGAGGGAGAGGAGGAGCGGCTCCTCTCCTTTTCTTTCATGGGACCCAGGTGATGATGTCACATGGGTCTGGATGAGCAAATGACCCCTTCGCTATGAGTGTCATGTCTGCTGCAGCAGAATAAACCACGGTTCAGGGAAGAGTGACACATCCCAGGTCACAGTGAGTTAGTTCAGCGGGTCAGGATTTGAGTTCAGGTTTGGGTCCCCTAATCTGGCTTTTCTAGTCTGCCACCCCACCCCACCCCGAGCTCCCAGGTCCCTGAGAAGGAGGAACAGTGCCTGAGAGACTCTGCTTTGTTGGGTAGGACTCACAGTCGAAATTCAACGTCAAATTCCAGTGTGATGTTTGCGGAGAACCACTCTTTAGGGAAAGCCATCTGGATCCCATCACAGTCCAGCTGCACATTGGTGATGTTGATGCTGCCCGTGGAAAAAGCAGAGGCCCCACAAAGGTGAGGGATGGCAAGTCAGAAGCAAGGCCAGCCTGGTGTGCAGGAAGGAGCAGGTGGTCATGCTGGGGATCAGAGCTTGGTGCAGATGCTCTGACAGCCTGAGTGGCCAGCTGTCCCAGGGCTCCTGGAGCATCCCCCACAGCTGCGGATTGTGCATTCCAGAGCCAGATGTTGACAGGCTGGATCCTCCCTCCCAGGACCCCGGGCCACTTCTCAGACCAAGGCTCCCTTCGTAATAGACAGCCCTATCATCTGTTTGGGACTCCACAGGGAAGCTCCTTGGCTTTCCCACACACTGTACCCCCACGCTTTTGGGTATATTGCTACTTGCAAATCACCTTGGCCTACTTGCAACATACGTGAGTTCGACCACCTCTGTTGCTTACATCATATCTTCCTGAAGATGCTTCAGTTCTTTCCTGGGCTCCCTGTTGCAATCTTGGCCTCTCTGTAGACTATTCTCCCTGAGGCAGCCTGGGTGGCCTCCATCTAGCCTCTTTTCCCCTGGTTCCTCCCAACTCTGTCATAATATACAAACTGCACACCATGGACATGTACCCGCAGGGTCTATGCACAGTTGCCTTGTGGCACTGGTTTCCCCACCTCTACCACCCACTGTTTGCTGAGCCTGACATGTGGGGTGCTCTCTCTCCTTGAGACACACCCGTCTCTTTCCTACCTCTGGACCTTTGCACCTACAGCCTCTTCTCCCTCGACCAGTCTCCCATCTCTCTCACGTCACTGGCCCTCTTCTCTGCATTCTAGGGTTGCTTCTCAGACAGGCCCTGATCAGCCTCCTCATTTCTACCCCTCACCATGCTAAATTTGTTTTTGTGGCGTGTCTCTTCATCACCTGGAATTAGTTATTACTCTCCGAGGCCTATTTCACTGGGATGCGAGCTCCCCAAAGGTAAAGGTCATAGGTCTTGTTCATAGTTCTATTTTCAATGTGATTTGTACACAATAGATGGTTGATGATAATTGTAGCATTTGTTAAAGGAATGACTAAAAAGGGTGATTTTGGCTACATGTTTGATAGGAAAACCCTCCTGGTGACTATTGTTGTTCATTCAGATGGAGAGAAATGAGGAGCTCGGGTCAAGAGGAGGTGCTTGGGAGCAGAGCAGGCAGAAGAACGGCACTGCCAGGGCAGAATGGAGTCCTGGGAAGAAGAAGGTTCAAGGGAGCAGTCTCAGTGGGTGCGGGTAGGATGTACCCAGTACTGTCATGGAAACCCCACCTACCAAGAGTTATATGTCCCCTGTATTCACTACAGAGGTTCTGGGCAGGCCTGTCAGAGTCCCCAGCATCTCCTGCAGTGGGACCATCACTGTGACTGTTTCTCTGCTGAGGCCCCAAGGTTTGTGGGCAGTGTAGTCCACTGCTCATGCAGAGCCACAAAGCTATGCCCCACTTGAATGGAGATTCAAATGTCTGGTTGCAGCCCTGGTCTCGTTTGATAACCCAGGTGTTTATCCAGGTTCTGTTCTGTGTCGCTGTTTTACAGGTGAGTTTAGAATGGCCAAGCAATTTCCCTAAAGTTGGAGGCAAAGGTGGGCTTTAAGTGCAGTCATTCTGCTTCTGAGCTGTTATTGCTAATTGCCCTGATGTGCCACCTCCCCAAACAGCTCCTGACAGTGGCCTCAAGCTTGCTCTCATCTTGGGTTTTGTGTCTTGCCTTCCTTGAGTCTGAATGCCTTCCTTCTTCAGAAGCCTTGTTCTCTGTTTTTTCCTCTGACCCAGAGGTCTGTAGAGTGCCCCCAGAGTCTGGAGTGGGATTCAAGGTCTCACCTGATCTCTTGCTGCTGCTGGAAGTTCATGCCGCCAATCAGCCAGCCCACCATCCCTGGGGCTGCCATCCCTGAGACATTCAGACGGTCCAGGAGCCGCATGCTCTGGATCCGGCCTTCAGCATTGTGCTTCAGGAGGCCCTGCGCAATAACTGGAAATGGAGAAGGGGTGGTGATGTGCATATTGCTGTGTAAGAGTTGGGTACAGGGAAAATAGGCCCAGCGTGAGCCCAGACTATCTTTCTGCTGAGCACTTATGTCTCCAAGTCCCCACAGAGAAGAAATGGATCCATTTTAAGAAATTTCCTAAACCTATGGGTAGGGTCTCCCATTGTGGAAGTATTTCTTTCTTCTAAATATACAGACAGATTCAATATGGGTATGATCAGATGTCCAGATAAAGGCTTAGAGAGGAACTCAACACACTTGAAAATTCATGTGCAAGAATAAAAAGTTTGTCAGAAAAAAGCAGTATTCCACAAAGACGTAATAACTAAAGTGTTACGTTACAGAGACAGGTCTATAAGCAGATGGAGTACAAAGAGGGGTCCTTGTGTTGGGAATTCGGCCATTTAGTAGATGGTCTGGGAAACCAACTCATGTGGGCAGAAATGAGGCTGGCTCTTCACTTTCCGTGCACAGATGCCCACATAAATAAACGCCCACCATGTGGATTAACACCCTCAGTGTGGAAGGTAAAACTAGAACACTGTTGAAAGAGATAGCTAGAGTAATTCTGGGATGTGACGAGATCTTAAGACTCCGAACACAAACTATATAATGAGATATTGGTGAATTTGAAACTATTCCTGTTTAGCAAAGTCAATAGGTGTAACACGAATCTTAAAAAGTCTACAAATAGGTGCCATTTGGGAGGAATACTGCCCACCTCCTGCTCTATCTGCAGAGTCAATCAACCATGGATTGGAAATATTTGGAAAAAATTACTTGTGTTCTGAACATGCTCAGTCTTTCTTCTTGCCATTATTCACTGAATGAGCCATAATAGTTATTTACATGTTATTTACATTGTCCTAGGTCTTATGAGTAATCTAGAGATGGTTTCAAGTATGAGGAAGGATTTGCATCAGGTCTGTGCAAACACTGCAACATTTTATGTAAAAGGTTTGAGCACCCAAAGATTCTAGGATCCAAGGGGGAACCTGGAACCAATCCCCGTGGGTACCTAGGGACAGCTATGATATGGTGCCTTCAAGGTGGTAAATACATTTAAATGAAGTCATAGGGTTGGCCCTAATCTGATAGGACTGGTATCTTTGTAAGAGGAAGACATCAGGTATATCCTTCTCTGAAAGGCTATGAGAGGGTTCTATCCATAAGCCATCAAGAGAGATCCCTCCCCAGACACCATACCTGTCAGCACCTTAAACTTGAACTTTCAACTGCCAGAACTATGTAAAAATATCAGCCATCTGTTGTTTGGCTCCACTGCCACCACCCCAGCTCCACCCCACCTATGGCATCTTGCTTTGGCAATACCGGCTGGTTGATAGAGGTGGATACCTTCCCGTGGTGGGGAGAATGGCAGACAGATATGTTCTCTTACAACTGGAGTGAGTGTACACCAGCACAGCCATTTAGAGAGGACTCCAACAGTTTAAATTAAATAGAGCATACATCTGTTCTGGATATATCTATCCAGGAGGAGTTCTCCCACATGTTCTAGTAGGGACATGTCCAAGGATACTCATCTCAATGTTGCTTCCAGCAATGGGAAGATACAGACAGTTTAGGTGACAGTCCCGAGGGAGTGCCAATTAAATGGAGGTAATGAAATGTACAGGCTTCTCTGCAGCAGCCAGTGCAACTGAGACGCCAGGAGTAGAGCAGGGAGAGAAAAGCAAAGCAAGCAATGAGCCAGGACCATACAAAGTAAAACACCTCCTGCAAAGGACGCAGATGTGGTTTGTTGTTTTGGGACAGAGTCTCGCAATATAAGACCAGGCTGGCCTCAAACTCAGAGATTTGCCTATTTCTGACTCCCAAGTGCTAGGATTAAAGGCATGCACCACCATGCCCAGCCCGATACAGACACAGATACACATGCTAAGTACATGGTAGTTCCTGACAAGGTCTGTAAGGAAATGGGAATGAGGATGAAGGAGAAAGAGAAAATGGCATAAAACAAGAGACCGTATGCCACAAATTGGAAAAATTTAGCTCAGTCTCTATACTTAAGATCCAAGGGAAAAATAACTAAGCAAGTAAATAAATAACTAAGCAAGTAAATAAATTAATAAATATGAAGTAAATGAATCAATTAGATGAGAGGCTGGCCCAAGCTGGTTCAGCAGTCAGTGGTGGGGCCCAGGCTGTGCCCTCTCCACACTCTACAGACAGCAGGGCATGCCCAGGGGTAAGCTCACTTCTTGCTAGGGTGGACCTTCCATCCTTGTGGGCCGTGGTCAGTCCAGGCCAAGGCTGCTTGAGCAGGGCCGAGGGCAAGGCTAGCAACCCCAGGAGGAGGACCAGGAACCTCCAGAGTGGATGCATCTCAGGAGCTGGCACCTGAACCTGCAGGTGTTAGTGAGGGTCCAGCAGGGCCCAGGCAGCTGGCTGTGAGTATGGCCACCCAGATGGGTGGGCTTACGGCTTTCTGCAGGCGGGTGGCTCCACGGCTGCCCCCAGCATGCTGTGGGAGGTGTTGCAAATAGCTCTGGCAGCTGCGCCCAGGGCTGGCTCACATGGCCAGCAGATGCCAGAGGCCAGGGCTGCAGAGGCAAGCCCGGTTGCTTGGAGACGCTCACCAGAGCTACTGTTGGGTCATCCAGCAGGAGTCCTCTCCCTGGTCCTGGCACAAGCTGCATGTTGGTGACGCTTCAGTGAGTGAGGATGACCAGCCCAGCATTGTCCAATTGCAATAGAACTTTCTTATTCCTTTTTTCTTTTGCGGGGGAAGGGGGTCTCCAGAATTTATTCATCTCCTAGCTGCAAGGCTGTATCCCCTGAACCCCATCTCCTCACCTATCTCCCCCTGTAACATGCCCTGTTCTACTCTGTTTCTGTGCTTTCTACTTTTTTTTTTTTTTTTTTTTTGGTTTTTCGAGACAGGGTTTCTCTGTGTAGCTTTGCGCCTTTCCTGGAACTCACTTGGTAGCCCAGGCTGGCCTCGAACTCACAGAGATCCGCCTGCCTCTGCCTCCCGAGTGCTGGGATTAAAGGCGTGCGCCACCACTTTCTACTTTTTTAGATCCTACTTTCAAGTGAGCTCACATAACATTTGTCTTTCAACATCTGGCTTGTCACACATAGCGGAATAGCCTCCTGGTTTGTTCACGTCATCATAAATGGTGGCACTTTCTTCTTTGTGAAGGCTTAATAATCTTCCATTCACCCCTGATAAACACTGAAGTCGTTGTGAACACTGCCTCTGTGAACATAGGAGGACAAGTGTTTCTCTGATGTGGATTTTTATTTCCCCTGTAGACCTAGAAGTGGGATTGCTAGATCATATGGTGGTTGTTTAATTTCTCTGAGGTTTTATTGTTTTCCATATGACCAATTTACATTCCCATCAGCAATACAAATGGGATCACAATGTTCTCTCCAACATTTGACATCTTTCAACTTTGTTTTTTAAAATATAATATTTTTGTTTATTCTTTGAGTATTTCTTATACTTATACAGCGTATTTTGATCATGTCTACCCCTCCCTCCCTTCCAGCTTCCTCCAGGCCCCACAACACATCTCCCTTCAGTTAGTGCTGCCCATATGCACAAGAGTGTGGGACCGTCCACTAGACCATGGGTAACCTACCAGCAGCCACATACCCAAAGCAAAAGGACTCTCCCTCTTAGAAGCCACCAATTATCTCGGCTAAGGACAGGTCCTTGTGAACCCCTCCACCCACCGTGTTGGCCTTTTGACTGATTTGGTCTTCGTGCAGGTGAGCAAGATGCTGTGAGCTCATGAGCACAATGGCCATGCTGTGTCCAGAAGACTGCATTTCATGGCATTCCTCCTCATCTTCTGGCTCTTATGTCCTTTCCCCCTTTTGCAATGTTTTCAGCCTAGGGGAAGGGTAGACATGGAGGTCTCACTTCAAGATGACCATACACAGTGACTTTCAGCACTTCAACAAGCTATAAGTCTCTGTGTTAACCGCTGCCCACTGCAAAACGTGCTTCTCTGATTGAGGCGAAGAGTATTACTGATCTATGGGTGTAAACATAAATATTTAGAAGGCAGTTTGAGAATACGTCTATTTAGCAAAACAATAGTAACATGTTTCCCTAGGATCTATGGCTACCTCAGCTATGGGCTTTTGACAAGGTTTACAGTTGTAGGTGTGAATTACCTCCTGTGGAGCAGGTATCAAATCCAATCAGAAAGTGATGACTTCTTTCCATAACAGTCATACCATTATTGCACCAGGAGGCACATCTTGCCTGATGGGTTGATACTGTAGCCTGAAGGGCCCAGGACTGGATACGATCATTGCTGTACACCCCCACCCAGATAACTAACTACCACATGGCACTTCCAGTACTTTTAAAGCTAGGCAACTGGAAAAAAGTTTCTTGGTCATCTCCAGATTGATCTATGTCCTACAACCAAGTGCATGATGTCTTCGATTTTTAGGTAAACATAGAAAGTGTTAGGTTTCATCATGGTGCCTTCATATATATGGATTATTGCACTTTGTTCTTATTTTCTCCTCCCTCCTCCCCACTGCTCTGCTCCATGCCTCCTGCCATGTTTCAGCTGGTTCCTTTCCTGCCTGCTTTCTTACCTCCTGTATTCCATTGCTCCTTATATTCCTCACCTCTCAAGATAGCTTTCTCCACTTCCATGATCTTCTTTCTAGTTTTGTAATCCTCCACACATATATTGACACACACATGTAATTTTAAATCTAGTTCTACACCTAAGAGAAAACATGTGGTATTTGTCTTTCTAAGTCCAATTATTTCATTTAACATAATAATTTCTAGTTCCATCCATTTTCATACAAATGTCATGATTCCATTCTTCTTTACAGCTGCTTACACTTCAATTGTAGCATGTAACACATTTTTTTTTATCCATTCATCTGGTGACAGACCTCTAAGCTGGTTCTATTTTTTTGACTATTGTGAGTAGGGCAGCTATAAACACAAATGTGCAAGAATATCTGTGGTATGTTGACTTAGTGTTATTCAGGTAGTGGTACAGCTGACTCATTTGGTAGGTCTATTTTTCACTTTTATGAGGAAAGTTTATACTGATTTCCATAGTGGCTGCTTCTTTTAGTCAGTGTTCTATTGCTTGAAGAGACACCATGACCAAGGCAACTCTTATGAAAGAAAGCATTTAACTGGGGCTGGCTTGCAGTTTCAGAGGTTTAGTCCATTATCATCAAGGTGGGAAGTATGGTGGCACACAGACAGACATGGTGCTGAAGAAGTAGCTGAGAGTTCTACGTCCAGATCTGAAGGCAGCAGGATGGCGGAGGCACTGGGCCTGGCTTGGACTTTTGAAACCTCAAAGCCCACCCTCAGTGACACACTTTCTCCAACAAGGACATACCTCCTAATCCTTTTTAAGTAGCACCACTCCCTGATGACTAAGAATTCAAATATATGAACCTATGGGGGCATTCTTATTCAAACCACCATGCTGCCCTAGTTTACATTCTCATTATGAATGTATCGTTTCATCTCTTCTTCACAGTCCATGCACTGTTGTCATTGTTTTCTCAGTGGTAACCATTCTCTGTGGGGTGATATGGAATCTCAGTGCAGTTTTGATTTACAAGATGACTCTAGATGTTGAACACTTTTCCTAGTGTGCATTAGCTGTTTGCATTTCTTCTTTTGAGAATCATCTTTTCAATTCATTAGTTCATCTATTGATGGGAATTTTTTGTTTGTTTGTTGTTTTGTTTTCCAAGATAGGGCTTCTCTGTGTGGCCTTGGCTGTCCTGGAGTTCACTCTGTGGACCAGGTTGGCCTCAAACTCAGAGATCCACCTGCCACCACCACCTGATGATTGGATTTTTTTGATGTTCAATTTTTGCAGTTCTTTGCAAATCCTAAATATTAATTCACCATCTGATATGTAGTGATTTTCCCTCTCAGTTCCATGGGTTGTGTCTTTGCTCTGATGATGGTTTCCTTTGCTGTGTGAAAGCTTTTTAATTATACATGATCCTATTTTCCAATTATTGGGATTATTTCCTGTGCTATCAGTGTGCTGTTCAGTAAGTCCTTATCTATGAATATATTTTGAAATGCCTTTGTAGATGTAACCAACGGTCTTATTAAATAAGAAACACAGAGCCGATTCAGAGAAGAAAGCCAAGAGGTCAGAGCTAAGAGCCTCACCCTTCCTGATTCAGGGATCCTCTTTAGCCAAGAGAGCTCTCTGAAAAAGGGGACCTATTTCTTGTGTGTGTCTTTATATAGTCTAGCTGTTTTGTCTTCTCATTGGTTGTAAACCCAAACATGTGACTGCCTCGTCACTGTCTGAATGTACCGCCCTCCAGGTCCTTAAAGGTGTGTGCCACCGCCAAGCCAAGTTAAGCGGTTTTTAATGGATTCTTGTCACGTTGGGCGCCAAATGTAGATGTAACCAACGGTCTTATTAAATAAGAAACACAGAGCCGATTCAGAGAAGAAAGCCAAGAGGTCAGAGCTAAGAGCCTCACCCTTCCTGATTCAGGGATCCTCTTCAGCCAAGAGAGCTCTCTGAAAAAGGGGACCTACTTCCTGTGTGTGTCTTTATATAGTCTAGCTGTTCTGTCTTCTCATTGATTGTAAACCCAAACATGTGACTGCCTCATCACTGCCTGAATGTACCGCCCTCCAGGTCCTTAAAGGCGTGCGCCACCGCCGCCATGCACTTGCTATGGCTCTAATAGCTCTGACCCCCAGACAACTTTATTTATTAACATACAATTAAATCACATTTCAGTACAAGTAAAATACCACCACATGCCTTCCCTGTGTTTTTCTCTATTAGCTTCAAAGTTTTGGGTCTTGTATTAAGGTATTTGATCAATTTTAAAATAATATTTTTGCAGGGTGAAAGATAGGGATCTAGTTTCATTCATTTTTTTTTTTGAGACATGATCTTTCTATTATGTATCCCTGGCTGTCCTGGAACTCACTGATCCTGTAGACCAGGCTGGCCTTGAACTCACAGAGATCCACCTATCTCTGCTTCTCAAGTGATGGGATTAAAGGCATGTGCCACCATGCCTAGCTTACTTTCATTCTTCTACATGTGGCAATCCATCTTTCTCAACATTTGTTAACCGTTTGTTAAAGATGCTTAGTTCATACTTCCTTGAAGGCATGATGAGCATTAACCTGGACCAACACACATACTTTCCTGAAAGAATGTACTAATGAGATTAAGTGTCTATGAAATTTGAGTGACTAACTGAACAGATGAGAAGATGTCTCTGGTACTCAGTTTAAGACACAGTGGCAAGATACTTAAGACAAACAAAAGGAGTGGGGTTTATTGCTGCTTCTGTTTTCTGAGGTCTCAGTCCCTGACTGGTTG